AGCTGTGCATGAGTCTATAAGCAAATACAATTGATCATGTACTGTTTTCAACCACATTAGTTCCACTGATTTTTCAAAATTTCTGCATGTTTCAGTGTGTGAGGTGTAATCAGAGAGATTCAGAGTGGTTTGGTGTGAAATGGTTCAGATGTCTTTACAGTGGTGGTGATAGGAACCAGGGGTCGCCATGACTACAACACAGATATAGACATTTTATTTACTATCCAGAACCACCAGTGAACCTACACAAGTCTTCTGAGTTTATATGGAATGTTGATGATGGAAAATAGTGGAAAATCTCAAATAATAAGTTTTCTTTGGGGACTATTTTGCCTCACAGCGCCCTACATATTATGTATCCCTCCACCATGAATGGAGTTTAAGGCCAAAACTGTCATAAAACAGCGTCTCAGTCATCAGGCAGTGAATTCATAACCATTTCATGTAGGAACTTTCTGTGAGGGAGCTTTTAGAGGTGGACGTCTGGTTCCTATCACCACCACTGTGAACAATTCTGACCTGGTAAGTTTATCTAGAACAGAGCGTTTCACACCAAACCACTCTGAACAACTCTGAACCATTCTGAATGACTCTGTTTACATCTTAACCACCTAATTATGCAAAATGTGAAAAATTAGCCTTTTTAATACACTGGGGCATTTCTTGCTATAAGTAGTAAAAGCTGTTGCTTAGAGCCCCCAGGCAACCCACATGAGTTTATAGTATTTAGCCATTTTATATTATTTATTTGTTTATATATACAAAATTTGTTGGATTCTGTTCTGATAAAATGAATAAGGTGTTAATGTAGTCAATAAGCCAAGACATGTCTGGTGTCTGAAGTCCACTCTTTAGTTTTAGCACTGGAGCTACAAGGCTAATGTAGCTATTAAGTAAGCACCATGCTAATACGCTACCCATTAACGTGGCGCTAGCTGCATGCCTAAATCATATGTCTGAACAGTTGTTCAGTGTCTCTAATAGACTTGATGATGTAGTTTCTGACACTGTTTAACTCACTGTGATCTATAAACATGGACTAAAGTACATTAGCATAGCTAAATACAGTAGCAGCATCTTGAGGTCTGAATTTAGTCCATTTTGGATGCAGAGTGTGTAAAATTTTATTTTTTTCTATTGTTTTAACATCATTTAAAGGCATTTAATGACTGAAAACAGAGTCTGTGTTTTACAGTTACATGTCATTTTTACTGTAATCCTGCAGGCTGTGAGAACACCAAGCAAAATTAAATTATCCCAGACTGAAGGAGGTAAAAGTGACGCGCTGCTCCTCTGGGAAATATCTCCTGAGAGCTCCTCCACATCCCCACGGCCTGGAGGTGCCACATCACACCTCCACTCACTAAACAACAACTGCACTCACTCAGGAAAAGCCTTATTAATCAATGAATCCACATCCTGCACACAACTAGATCTTATTATATTACTATATTCACTCTTTATAGCGTTTTATAGGTTTTGTTAATGTTTTTAATTACACCATCACGAATTGTAACATTAATATTTTTAAAAAGGAAAAAAAATGGAAAAAAATGTTGGACAGATTTACATTATTTGGTGATTAAGCTGCTTAAAATAACTTTGTGGATCTACAGTCGAATGCAAAAGTCAAACTGCAGGTCAAATTGAATCCTTTATTATAATTTACAGATATATGCAAAAGTTTGCAAAAGTAAAATGACATATTTTTATGTGCATTTACATGAATTACATTCAACATTTTAAAGCACTATTAATGTTAAACATTAAGTTTAGTTTAACATTTTTGAAAAAAGAAGAAGATAAAATGCACCATACTTTCGCACAGGCCACAATTTTTTTTCTCAGTATGTTAAATTCAGCAAATAACAGTAAACTGTAAAAAGTGTCTCGTCAGATCTACTTAAAACATGACTTCATGTGGTAACAAGTAAATTAACTTTTTATTCAACTCAAAAAATTTACTGTGATTGAAAGAATCGTTCATTCAAAGTATTTATTTAGGTTGAATGAAACCAGTTCATTTACTTGTTACCACATGAAGTCAATTTTTAAATAGATCTGACAAGACACTTTTTACAGTGTACTACTGTGTATATGTGTATATATTTAGAGTCTAATATGTGTATATACAGTACATATATTTTGTTTCTTTTTGTATTTATTTTTTGTATATTTAAGTTCTACAAGGGAGCTACACACAAGATTTTCACTCACCTTCGCACCTGTGTAAATGTGATGTGACAATAAATGTGATTTGATTTAATTTAATTGTGTATTCTAATATATTATTGTGTATTTGTGCAGAAGTGTGTCTCTATAGAGGGTGTGTTTACTTATTTACACTCAGAAAATCAACAACAACATGGAATTTGACCAGAAGCTCACACACATTTGCATGTGCCTCACTGAGCCATTCATATGACTGCTTATATTTACTGCACAGGCAAGAAAATGACTTTATTTTGTCCTTTACCTTAACCAGAAATATGAAACATGGAGATATGAGCGTCATATTGTATATTTACTGAATGGGTCTGTATTAATCTGACCGGCGAGAAGCTCAGTGTCCTCACATGGACAGTGAAGAGAAGCGAGCGAGTTAATAAAATTACGTTAGACGTCTGAATGCGTGAAGTGTGTCCAGAGCTTCCTGTGTTCCCAGGCTAGCGCTGAGGCTAACGGTCACTTGTGCAAACAAAGAGCTGTGAAGGTTTCTCACTCTGCAGCTGCTGAGCTCCATGAAGAGGAGCGCTGCTCTCAGAGTAAACTCATTATGGGCCATTAGCAGCTCCGCACCAGGTCTAGATCAGCGTCCTGCTCTCTGATCAAAGGATCTGACCAGGCCTAGACATCTCAGCACATAATGTTCATCATGCTGCTGTTTATGAATGAACAGCCTTTCAAAATGACAAATGATTGCTTTCGTGATAAAGGCTGGAACAAACTGATTGATTTTGATATTAAAATGCATGTCAAATTCATTAAGATCTGGTCTATTACATTTATCAATATATCTTCACTTAAGACTCCGGTTTGACGTCTGGAGGCTGTAACTTTAATGGATTAATATCAGATATTCTGATTTATCTGAACATTTATTCACCAAAATATTTGATTTTAAGAGGAATAATATATTTTGGTGAAAGAATGTTTACATATATCAGAATATTTGAGGAAACAGACCCAGAAACAAGTGTAAAATAAAAAAAAGAAATATTAAAAGGAATATAGTAGGAATATAATAATAACAGTGTAAGTAGTGAAGATATCCACTGACATTTACATTTATTTAAATGTATGGCATTTGGCAGACGCTCTTATCCAGAGCGAGTCTTGCCCAAGGACTCTTATTGGTATAGTGTAGGGTGTTTACCCAGGCAGGGATTGAACCCCAGTCCACAGCGTAGAGGGCAGTGGCGTTACACACTACACATTACATGTTACAGACGTTAAAAACAAGGCAAAGTTGACACACATTGAGTCCCATCAATGACCAGCAGCAGGAAAACCATTCCATTCACTCTTTCATATAAATTCTGATATGTTTGTATTTTTCAAATGTTTTAAATACGAACACTTTTACTTCTACTGAAATAGATCAGCAAGTAAGGTAGGGTGTTTCCTCAGGTCAATTTTATTCATTAATAAATATTCTGTTCGGCTTTGCTGTTGATCTGCTCTCACTTTGGAGCTTTAGTGTTTCATTTAAGAGTCCAAAAAGTATGGAAGCACATTTCTACATCTTTTATATATTCAGTTTTTTGGTCTTTCTCTCTTTCTCACAGGAGCATGCCAATGTATTGACTTACTATGTTTAAAAAAATGACTTTTTACCATAAAATGTTGACTTAGTATCTAAAAATAATGATTCATTTTCTTAAAATATTACTCAGTATCTCAGAATTATTATATTTTCTCAAGATGATTCTTTGTCAAAATAATTAGTTATTGAATTTCTGAACAGAAAGTCATTATTTAGGAACATTAAATCCAACTTTTGATATTATTTCAACATATTAAGTTGAAACTGTTACTGCTAGAAACTGTTGATCTCTCCTCTCACTTTGAAGTTTTAGCTTTTTATTTTAGACCAGGATTTTAGGACTTAAAAAGTATGGAAGCCCATTCCTACATCCTTTTGTCTTTCTCTGTTTTTCAGTCAACATACTGACTCAGTATGTTGAAATATTAACTTTTTTTCTTAAACTGTTGACTTAGTATCTCAAAATAATTTTTGAAATCTTAATTTATACAATTTGTGATTCTTTGTTGAAAATAAAGGGTTATTTAATTTTAAGAAACTAATTATTTCAGAACAATACGTCATTATTATGAGACATTAAATCAAACTTTTGATATTATTTCAACATATTAAGTCCATATTTTTGAGAAAATAAGTCATTATCACAACATAGTAAGCCAGATTTTAAACATACTGCTGCTGGAAATGGAGAAGGAGAAAAATTATCAAGGGATTTTTATATGGGCTTCCATAAAGAAATGAACATGAAAAGAGTCCAACAAACTTCAGCTTCTGTGCCGATAGAAGCTGGATCCTTTAAAAAGTTCCGCAGTGGGTCTTTTAAGTTACTCAAGTAGTTTTATTGCTACTTTCGGGCTTTTACTCAAGTTGTTGTTTGGAGAGATACTTTTACTGCAGTCATTATGTCACTGCAGTGACCGTAGGATGGGTCTACGTTACTCTTCACAGCTCTTTCCTTTAATTAATCTTGACCTTGTCCATAGTTGCAGAAGCTCTTTATCTGGTTCCTCACCTCCCACTTGTGCTCTGAACGATGTGACTTTTCCCAGAGACCCCCTGCCTCTGGTGTGAGTCTCCTCTGCAGCTTTGAAATGCTGAGGCCTGGCTGAAGGTGCTACATCACACCTCCTAATCCAGGATATATGAGGCCTCTGCTGCCTCCTGCTCACCATCACTCACTCAGGAACCTCAGACCGAGGCACATCTCTCCAGCCTTGCACACATCATCGCAGCAATGGAAGCTGACTTCTGTCCTCTACTGACCCAGGAGTCCAAATCCCAGTTTGACTTTGAGCTAGCGTCGGCTAGCACAGACCTGGGCTACTACAGCGCCTGCAGCAGCCTCTCTCCAACCTCCTCCGTTGATTCCTCTTGCTTTTCTCCTCCAGTCTGCCAATTTAGAGCTGGATTCGACCGGCCAAAGGAACCAGAGTGGACCAGCCAAGCTTGGGAGAAACCCACAGCAGCTCAAACCAGGAAAATCACCAGATCCAAAAACCCTGGGAAGAAGCGCCAGAGTGCCAGTGAACGAGAGAAGCTGAGGATGAGGGATCTTACCAAAGCTCTCCACCACCTGAGGACCTTCCTGCCTCCATCTGTGGCTCCAGCAGGACAAACCCTGACCAAGATCGAGACGTTGCGTCTCACCATCCGCTACATCTCCTACCTGTCCTCCCAGCTGGGCCATGAAGAGAACTCCTCTCATACTGGAAATGTTCAGAGCCACTCTGCTGCTGTTCCTGTCCAGCAGGGTGGGTTTTCAGACCCCTGGAGCCAGAACACAGTCCAGGAACATCTCCAGTACAGCAGCCAGCACTGCCAGCCGTCCACAATGTTCACAGCTTCGGCCCAACAGATGGAAACAAGCTCAATGTCCACTGCCTACTACAGTGAGGCGCAGTTCCCCCTGGTAAGGATGCTTTCAGTTCATTTATCAGCGACTAGCAGGATGAGTTTGATATCTACACTGCCTGCCAGAAGTTTGGGGATACTTAGCTTTTAAAAATGCAGTTTTTTTAATCAAATCAGAATGTTTTATTGATTAAACAAGGTTTATTTAGAGGAAAACAATCAGCACTCAAACCTTTCAGATATTTAGATCATCTTTGGGCTGAAAGAGTTTCAATATGTGCTTTTAACAATAGTTTGGAAAAGAAAACAAATCAAATCATTATTTAGACAAAACCTACCCTTCATACTAAGGAAGACACTTTAATGCACATGAAGCTGAGTGATAAAGATACAGCTGTGTGCAAAAGTTTAAACTCCCCCAGTCAAAATGACATGGAAATAAGTTAACACATCCTCTACAGGGAACATAATTCATTTTGCCATTTGCTGAGTTTAACTGAGTTTGTTTGCCAGTAAATTCAGCGAATAAGCAGTAATCGTGCATTAAAATGTGCAGCAGTGTGTTCTCTGCCGAGGATGTGCGTTCACTTATTTTCACTTATAAAAAACAACAACAACATGAAATTTGACTGGGGCGCCGAAACATTTGCACACCACTGTTAATAGACCCAATTAGCACAGAGCTGCTTTATGATGAACTGAACCTCGGCAGGTATCGCTGTTTTACTGCATTGAAAAGTATCAGTCTGAAAATTAAAAAGGAATTATATTAGTGTGAAATATAACTGTCGTATCATTGGCTGCTGATGTGCATGTGATACGTCTGTTTCTGAAAGTGACCCCTGATTTTGTTTATCCCCACAGTTTCCCAGCCACACGAGCCAAACCTACACACACTGTGACCTGGCCGCTCTTCTGTGAGCCCAGACGAAGAAGGATCCACAGGATATGGACTATTTTAAAACCAAAACCACCTATGAACTGTAATAATCCAACATTCTGAAATGTACACTAATTTAAGTTATTTATTAGATAATATATTTTTGTACTGGAAATGTATCTGTATATATTTGATTATCCTTTTTCTAATAAACTCTATTCAAAATGGCATTGCTTTGTGTTGGTATCACTCTGATAAACTCATGATGCTACTTGGAAGATACAGACTTTAACCTCTAAAAATCTCATATTATTCAGATACAACACAGAAAACAATCAATACAATCAACAACACAAACAATCCAGTCCGTCTGAGTATGAGGGGTAAAACATCAGCAAACACTAAAAAAATATGATTTAACAGCAGCATTTTATTGTTTATATTTTCATTCATGCTTGTTTGCGTGGATTCTATTCTTATCCAAATACTTAAAAACTCTTATTTTGAAGATTAATCCACTCCTTATCATATTGCATAGATTATAAAGTGCATGCTAAGCATTTATGGTAGGACTCTGGGTTGAAAGACTGTCAGTCAGCAGGCAATGTTTATAAGCCTTGTAATATGATTAAAGGGCCCATATCAAGCAAAAACAAACTTTGCATAATTTTATAAATGAGAGTTTGATGTAGTATGTAAACATTATTCCATGAAAACTAAACGGCAAAAGCAGCTGTTTTTGTAATGACACACACCAAAAAAAACAATTACATATCACTGTTGTCGGAACAAAACCTTGTATCTCCAAAACAGTAACTTTACAGGAGAAGGAAAAAACATACCTTACTTTTAATGTAAGTCAATGGAACCAGACGTTTTTCCAAGTCATTTTGGGTCAGTTTTGTTGGTCCATTCTTTATGAAATTTACACATAATGTAAAGGGCAACAGGCTTTTTCAAGTTATGTCAAAAATTGAAAAACAACAAAAATGGAGATACGAGGTTTTCTTCAGACAACAGCGATTATATCAGTCTTAAAGGCACAGTAACAAAAGCAGCCTGTTTAACTGCAATGAATACAAATAAACATGTAGAAATGAATTATGACCATTTTTGGTAAATGAAAGTGCACAAATGTTGTAAGTGGACCTGACAAGAAAAATAACAGAGAAATGCAGGATACTGGCTCTTTAAAACTGTAGGCTGTTTATGTTTGCAGACATGCAGATCCCCCTTAAACAAACTGTACTTTCATTACTATTCAATTTGAAATAAAATGACAATGTTCCTGCACTTGTGTGTTTCCAGTGAGGTCTCCTTTTCTCCTGCAGCTGTAAACAGAACTGAAACGTTATTAGTGTTATTAGTGAAATGTTATGAACGGCTCAGTTATCGATCAGTAATCTGACTCTGAGCTCAACAATCAGTCTGCTGTGATAGGCGACCCTGCTGACAAGTGACTGATCAAATCTTTAACATTATTATTGTTCTTTTTGATGAATTAATCGCATTTCTACATAAAGAAACCTCAACGTCAGTGTATTACAGCATGGAACAACATTACTCCAACTGAAAGCTTTAACATTTAGCAGAGAGTAGAAATGGTACAGGGAACAAAATAAACAAGATTTTTCACAGAATATAATAGAAAACAAGAAGAAAATTACTTTCAGTTGTTCCAAACTGCTTTTAAACATGTGGTTAACCAGTTATAACACACTTTTTGTCAGCTAGTGGCCACAGTAGGCATTGCTAGGCCGGGTCCTGCCACCAGAGGGAGGCAAAGAGTGCCTCCTAGGCAATTACCGGCAATCGGCACCACCTGTGTGAGCTCTACTTAAGGAGAACTCTCCCTGCAGCCTGTGTGCAGTTTGAGTCTGACATGCTACAAGCTGCTGGCTCTCTAACTGGTACCTGTGTTTTTCCAAAAATAAGTAAATAAATAAAATACAACCCTGTTTTCAAAAAGGTTGGGACGCTGTGCAGAACATAAATAAAAATAAAATGCAATGATAACATAACATAAAGTACCCAACTGTGATGTCATCCAACATCAAAGTGAAACAAAATTCAGGAAATGGCGTCTCTCTTTTAATGTATATTGAAAGCAATGCCAAAGAGTGAGAACCTGTGGGAGATGAGAATGTGGGAGAGGGGGGGGAGTTAAGGTTAGCATGAACAAAACAAACAAAAACATTTGAAATACACTGTGTACACGTTACACGAAATACACGTCTTTATGTATTAACATCACACACAGACTCTAAAAGAAGGTCCGGCTCGATGTTTCGGCCTCAAATGATCTCAAAATCATACTGATGAAGGTTTGATAACAGTAGTAGATAATTCACTCACATCCTCAGAGACGCTCCTTCAGCAAGTTTAGACTGAGTTCTCTCTGAGTTCTCTTTCAGTCAGCAGATTCATCGACTCAGGGAAGAGGGCCGAAAACACAGCCCACGCTACAAAATGTTCTTCTGTATATTACATGCAATTACACAATTCCACCAGAGAGGTCTCCAAATCCCAAAAACTTACATCTTACATGTATGTGTAATGCGTATTGTCCAGGCTATTTGCCTGTATTATGGGGTATTATGGTGTGTGTGCATTCTGTAATTTAGCTTATGTGTTTTCTTTCACTGTTTCATGTGTGATACTCATAAAAGTAGTTCTTACACTTCTGATAAATATTTATTGTATTCATAAATGTTCAGACAAGGTATTAGGTCACAGTACTGAAACAGACCCATTAAAAGTAGTCTGATCTGAGACTAAGTGTTGACAAAACAATAAGTCAAGCCAAGTCAAGTCAAATTTATTTATATAGCGCCTTTTACAATAGATGTTGTCACAAAGCAGCTTTACAGAGAATCCGGGTCCACGCCCCCAGTGAGCAAGCCTTGGCGACAGTGGCAAGGAAAAACTCCCTCAACAGGAGGAAGAAACCTTGAGAGGAACCAGACTCAAAAGGGGAACCCATCCTCCTCTGGTCGACACCGGATAAGAGGACAGACACAAAACAGTATAGTGGATACAGTTTAACACCACTGTGCAGTGCGCCGGCCGCATCTCAGCTCAGGTCATAAGGTGTATTAGGGTTTATTGTTGGTGCTACAGATCAGTGGATTGCTCTGTGGAACTGTGTTATACGTTTAGGTTAAGATGTTCCTTAAAGGTTACCGTCCATGTGCCAAAAGCCAGTTTCTGCTGTAGGGGTCCATGCTGCCAAGGACCTCCCTGCCATCTCCCACCGCCTATACGGCACTGCACCGGTCCCCCATGCTGGACCTTGCCAGTGGTGGGCCCACACGTTTCCCCTGTGTTGCGTTTTAGGGCTGAGCCCAGCTGGGTTACATGGGCTGCCCAGCCACCAGGTGTGTGGCCTACTGGGACGAGACCCCGAGGTCATCCTAGGACCCATTGGAGGGATTATATATTGTGTATATATATATATAAATTGGCCTGGAAGCTAGATTCTCTGCTCTCCCAACTGCTACTGTGACCCTATCTGGACTAAGTGGTTTAAGATGATGATGATGATGACGATAATGTTTCTAAACAACCCAATACATTTTATGTTGTTCCACAGGGCTCCACACTTAATCCATTTTATTGTCAAATATGTCAAACGATCACAATCATGATGCTATGAAGATGATACATGTTTATTTTTTATTTAAATATGAAACAAAGTACTTTCCAAAAGCATAAAATATGCTGTATGGATAGTTTGAATGATTGTTATTTACAGACTGTGAAACTGTCAAAGCTGTTGTGATGAAAGCCAATATTAGTGAGAGGCTGTGAGCCTTTTATTTAATAATTTAATTTATTTTTTATAAACAATCTGCAGTAACACCCATAAATTATACCAAGGTTTGCGATTTTTCCAGCCCTTTTTTAAGGGAAAGCTGTTATCGAAGCAGTGATGCATCACCACACAGATTACAAGCAGTCTTGTTTGCAAATTTAGTTTCAGATAAAGTGACTTTTTAAATACATATTAGAAAAATTATAGTGGTCAAATCTACATATATACTCAAATTTAATATCTTGTAAGAATAATTAATTGTTCAGATAGTAAACAGCATGAATTATTTAATTTAACTCTAGGTAAGTTGCTGAAAGGCAGTGGCCAAATATCATAACTAACAGCATATTATACATAACTGACAGCAAATAGTTTGTGCAAGTTCAGATCTTCATGAGCGTTAAGACTCTTTGAGCTCTTACCTGCCAGACCAGCGGTAGATGTTGAAAGAACAACCAGTAGAGACAATAAGCAGCAGATTCCATTCATTTCAGCACAAATATGTGCCACAGATTCTGTCTTGAGGCAACACTGGAGCTCAGCTGTTCGTTATTCTATTACATAGATCACGGCGGCATAAGGCTCCTCCCACCTTTCTTATTTTGGCAACAACAGATGAGACAAACTCTGTTACCATTAATCCGAAGAACTGACACACGATCTGTTAACACAAATACCACATTAAAAAGAGGGAAATATGTTACTAGAGGAGCCGGAGAGGATCGACTACAGTCAGGTTGGTGCACCTGATTTCCCTCTCAGGTTCGCTCTGCACCAGTCTCCCAGGACCTTACCTGCATTCACCTTCTTAAAGAGACAGGATACTAATTCTAACTCTTTATGTCAATCTTTAGACTGTTCTAACACAGTTGATGCTCAGTGGGCAGTCGAATGTCCACTCGAGTCCTGGACATCACCTCCTCCAGACACTCCCTCTGGCAGAAGATTCAGGGCTGACAAATCCAGCACAACCAGATATGCTAACAGCTTTTTCCCCAGTGCTGTAGCTCATTAACCACAGTGGACGCTCACACCTTAAACCTAGTTAAACTAAACCATCAAACCTCCTAAGCGTTATGTTTAGTTTAAGGTCCCTTATGTCAGTGCAATGTCATTCACTTCATAGGACATCCTATGTCATCTTGTAATTACTAGCATAAGCTGGTCATGAATACTCCAATATTGCTTCATAAATATGCTATAGCAGTACTTAGGCATGTGTCACATAGTCCTTATGCAGGTAGCCCTCACTTAAAGTGATACCAAAAGTGTTAAAGTTATGCATCTTGACAATAGTGCTATTCCTAAAAGAGCATGTTATTAATAACAAGCTTTATATAGGCATTATACGAAGACTACTCTACTGTATATAACACTATGTAATCTCTACTTCTCTCCTGTATATAATCAGTCAGTAGGCGTAGTTAAGTGGTAATCATTTATGCACAGTGAGAAAACAAGTAGAACAAGATGACATTTTCTGCAGTTTTGTTTTTTTTTATAAAAAAAATCAACACTAATCCACATTATATGAAATTTCATGGATTATAACAGTAGAATATAAAAAGACAAATAAGTAATTCACAGAGAACACAGGACGTTTTTTAGACTATTGAAGTTCTCCTTTCTAAGAGCCCTTGGACAGATCATCCAGTGAAACCTCGCTTTCTTCTGTGGCTGAAAATAGAATTGAAATTAATGAATTAGTCAAAATATCTTCCACACTATGAGTGTATGTTGCATCTTAATGTGTAAGACTGTAATGCATTCTGTTAAACAGGATTAATTCTATATTGAGCACCATACTGAGCGCACTCACAAACTCTGACATCACCAGCTCATTCTGGGCCGTGAACGCGGCGTTTAATATGTTTTAATGTTCGCAGTTCCTTCACCAAATTATAGTTCCTTAACGAGCAGCTTGTTGCTACGTCAGAGTAACGAGCTCCGCCCACTCGCTGCACAGCCGGCAGTTCGTTCTCCAGCTCCTTACACTAAATTCCCAAACTCTCATCACCACTGAGCAGCTTTTCAGTCGGCAGCTGTGACAGAAGAACAGCTAAACAACCTGGAATCAGCCAGAAATGAACCCAATACCATTCGCCAAACGTGTAGTCTGATCTTCAGAGTCTGACCAAATCAGACTGAGCCATAAAACTGCCACAATATCAAGTTCAGCTCAGTTTTGTCTGTTTTTTCCAGATCAGTATTAATGTTGTTTTGTTCCAGCCAGTCTGTAAAGCATCTTACAGCCCATTGTGTTTGGCGAATGGTGTTGGGTTCATTTCTGGCTGATTCCAGGTTGTTTAGCTGTTCTTCTGTCACAGCTGCCGACTGAAAAGCTGCTCAGTGGTGATGGCAGTTTGGGAATTTAGTGTCGTCTCATCTTCAGAGTCTGACCAAATCAGCTGTCGGTCAAATGTGATCTTAAAAGTGTCCGTTTTCTGTTTGTGGCAAAGTAAGAAGTAAAAACATTCAAATGGCTTGAGCGTCTCCTACAGCTGTCAAAGTCTCAGCGGAGTGATACAGAAATATCAGCACAGTTAGAACACCTCTCAACCAATCAGTTTGCGTGGCTGGAGCTAACCGTTTTATATGATCATATAATGGATCTCAAAACTATGAATATAACTCTATATTAAAAAGTGCTGCGGACAGGAATGAGAGTCTGTAGAGAGAAAACTGCATAACAAACTATAAAAATAGAGTTTTTTTTCATTCAACCTAAATAAGTTCTTTATAAGACAAAACATAATAAAAACTGGTTCATTCAACTCACATAAATATTCTGAGTGAAACATTTGTTTAAGTTGAATAAAACCAGTTTGATGCCGTTTCACCACCTGAAGAACCTTTTTTGTTAGGCTGAACGAATTAACCACTTTTTGCAGTGTATATTATGCAGGTTTTGTCCCCTCACAGGCCTTCATTCTACCCCAACCCTCCTTTAAAAACAGGCCACTTTTTACAGTGTTTGGTGACAATCTTCTGCTAAAATGGTGCTTAATGTGCATACATGCCTGCGCAACTGTTATAATGTTGTTAAATTGTGTTTTCTGGAGTTACTGTTTGGAATTAGGCTAAATATTGTCAGATTATTTTATACAATAGCTTAGTGGAGAAACTCTGTTCCAGCACTTTCTGAGATAGTTCTCTTTTCTGCACAGTCTTAGTAAAGTTTTTTGTAGCTGCTTGAACATGTGTCTGCAGAGATCTATTATATATAAGATTTTACACAGACTATACTTTCAAAAATATTGGGGAAAAAAATAAAAAATGTAAAAACATGGTGGTGATATGTCCTCAACATAAATGACACCTGTGCTCGAAACTGATTTGTTAAACTGAAATGTGGCAGTCGGCTTTAGTATAATCATCAAGTCTGGCTTTGCACTTTTTCAAGTAACATGGTTAGACGTGTTTTCTTCATATCTTCCCTACAGCCTTGCAATAATGCAACTATGAAGCACTACATTATCAACTATGATAACTGTAGAGCTTAATGACCACTAACAGCCATAGAGTAGTGTGGACCACAGCCTTATGTAGGGTACAATGTACAGTGGCAGCATTCATACATTTCCCTTTCATTCCCAGGGTGTATAAGCACTGCCAAGACTGATATTCTGTCTCAGACAACAGATCAGGAATCACATTCACCTCCAAGGTAACGTACTAGTAATTTCAAGATATAGTTGGTGCAATATGCAGAGTACTGTACATACTAGTTAGGTATGTGGTATACATTACACAGTATGCAAAAAATACTGTATATACACTGATGCAGTGTGCAGAATACTGTATATACTGATACAGTATGCAGTATATGATATATACTGGTGCAGTATAAAAAACACTGGTGTGGTATGCAGAATATGATATTTTGGTACAGTATACCGGTACAGTATGTGGTGTATAATATATACTGGTGCAATATGCAAAAATGCTATATATACAATGGTGCAGTGTGCAGACAACTGTATATACTGGTACAGGATGTGCTATATAATATTAATGTATAATAATAGAATGTACTGACTGCAAAAATGTCGCATATACTGGTGCAATACGCAAAACTACTGTATATACTGGTCCAGTGTGCAAAAATGCTGTATATTCTGGTACAGAATGTGGTATATAATATACTGGTACAGTATGCAGTATATAATATATACTGGTACATTATGCAATATAATGTAAACTGGTACAGTATGTTGTAGATAATTAATGCTGGTGTGGTATGCAGAATAGTGTATATACTGGTACAGTAGGCAGTATATAATGTATACTGGTGCAGTATACAGTTCTTGTTAATACAGTATTTTGCATACTGCACCAACATATACTGTATTCTGTATATAGTACCAGTGTGACTTGGATCTATAAAGTGGTTGCATTAACCGGATTGCACAGAAGTCTTTTTGTATGAAAGATTACTTAGCATATAAATACAACCCTATTTCCAAAAAAGTTGGGACACTGTGCATAATGTAAATAAAAATAGGATGCAATAATATTCAAATCATGTAAACCATTTTTCTAAAGGAATGTACTACAAAGACAACATATCAAATGTTAAAACGGAGAATTTTTTTGTTTTTTGAAAAATATTTGCCCAATTTGAATTTGATGCCAAAATGTATACATCATTCATGTATATATCATTCAGCATTAATGGTGCCTTCACAGATGTGCATATCACCCATATCATGTGCACTAATGCCCCCCTATACCATCATGAATACTGGCTTTTGAACTGTACACTGATAACAAGCTGAGTGGTCTTTAGCCCGGAGGACACAGCGTCCATGATTTCCAAAAAGAATTTCAGGTGTTGATTCGTCGGACCACAGGACACTTTTCCACTTCACCTCAGTCCATTTTAAATGAGATCGGGCCCAGAGAAGGTGGCAGTGTTTCTGTATCCTGTTTATGTACAGTTTCTTCTTTGTGTTTTAGAGTTTTAACTTGCATTTATGGATGCAGCGACAAACTGTTTTCACAGACAGTGGTTTTCAGAAGTGTTTCTGAGCCCATGCAGTGATTTCCTCTATAGAATCATGTCTGTTTTTCATGCAGAGCTGCCTGAGGGCTCAAAGATCACAGCAAGCTAACACTGGTTTTTGGCCTCGTCCCTTACATACAGAGATTTCTCCAGATTCTCTGAATCTTTTAATGATATTATGTACCGTAGATGATGAAAAGCAAAAGTTCTTTGCAATTTTATGTTGTGAAACTTTATTCTTGAATTGTTGCACTATTTGATGGTGCAGTCTTTCACAGAGTGGTGAACCCCTCCTCATCTTTACTTTTGAAAGACTCCGCCTCTCTGAGATGTTCTTTTATACCCAATCATGTTACTCACCCGTTGCCAATCAACCACCAGGTGTTTTTTTTAGCATTACACAACTTTAACAGCCTTTTGTTGCCATCGTCCCAACTTTTTTTAGAAATAGGGTTGTAAAGTGAATGAAAGCATATACATGATTTTTTAACTTTTCATTAAAAAATCACTTACTGGAGGCTGATGAATAGTCCCCCAGAGATGAAGCTGTCAAAGGAGACAATAAGAAAGCGAACACGATCAGAGAAAACATTTGAAGAAAGGTCCAGCAATTCATCTCCTACCAAATTCAGCACTTTAGTGCAGAGCTATAAAGACTGCTAATAAAAATTTCTTTTTGTCTGCTTTCCTACCTGTTCGCTTCCTCCTACGTGTCTTCATCATCCAGATGACGGCCACCATCACACTTAACAAGACCAGAGCCGCCACCACAGATGTAAGAATGGGCACGATGGGCTCCCCTGGATCAAAATCTGAAACACATCATTTAAGAAAGTGATAAAAAGCTCAGAGTCAGCTGAGGAATTTTCTGTGTCACTCTGAGATTCAGTACCCAAATGGATGTCCAGCTTGTTGTCCAGGCTGAGGTGGATGACTGTACAAGTGTAATTTCGTCTCTTCAGCTCTTCTTCACTGAGCTCCAGGCTTTTCCTCATCTGGTAGGTCCCGTCGACGTTGGGCAGCAGGTCTCCTCCAGTGATCAGGTGGTCAGGAACTGGCTGTCCGTCTCTGAAGATGGTCAGGTTGATGTGACGGGGGTAAAAACCAGTGGCCAGGCAGGTCACCCCATCCCACCCAGACACTGAGCGTCTTCTCTGGATGAGCCTCACTCTGGGCTTCACTGTAGGAGAAGAACATGAATCCCACATCAGAGAGAATATCAGGTTCAGATTTGTAGCTACATTAGATGTAAATGTAGTCAACCAGCCGAGAGATGTTTGGTGTCCGAAGTTCATTTCTTTAGTTTTGTGTTGGAGCCGATGCAGCTAAAAAGCAATTACCATAGTGCTAACTGTGCTTAAGTCATCACACTTGCCTCAAACTGTCATGTCGATCAGTTTTCTGTAATAGACTTGCTAATGTGGTTCATTTGAAACTACAGAAATGTTATGTTGCCATGGTTGTAACATCCAGGTGGCCTGCTAGGGTACCTCTGGCCACTAGGAGGGGCTAGAGAGCCAGGACAGGGTAATTAGGGCTGAGTGGTAGGGCTGTGGATGCCTTACTTAAGGGGAGCTCACACGCTACTCCTTTTTTAAAAGGTCCTGGTGTCTGTATCTGTGAAGCTGCTGTTTTTCTAACTAGAATAACTATTTTAAAGTAGAGATGTTTTTATTTGTATTTTATTTATTTGTTTATTTAATGTTTACTGTGTGATTTGGCCTGTTTATAAGGCACTCTAACATCAAAAATTGTTATATAAATCGAATCATCATGCGGCTCAAATGAAAAACATTTCCAGACCTTTAGAAGAGTCTCTTACCTTTCCTCTTCACCTGATTCACTCTCTTTTTCAGGTACCCTCTGAGGGTCTTAATGCACACTGGGTAGTACAGGTTTTCATGACGCCACATAGTTAACTCCAAATGTGGTTTCAGTCTTTCTTCTGTGAGATTTAAAGCATTTTGATATGTAAATTTGTGTTCATGGAAACGCAGTTCATCTCTCGTGGTGCCTCCGATTGCATTCTTGAGTATAAACGGTCCAGGCTGGTCACTGTCCAACAGTTCACACAGCACCAGCCTCTGTTGGACTTCAACACCTAAAACAGACATAAAAGGGAGAGTGTTACCTGCTTTCCTGGTTAAACATTATGTGATTGATCTTAGCTTCTTTATTACAGCAATATGGAAAGCCAAGAAAAGAATAACTGCTCAAGCTGCATTAATCAGTTAGCACGTTCATCTCTTCAACACATGATTATAGTCAGTGTTGGGGTTGTTACTCAAAAAAAGTAACCCATTACTGATTACTCATTACTTAACTAAAATTGTAATGGGATTACTTTACTCATTACTTTCTGGAAAATGTAATCTCCAACCTCATTACTTTACTTTTAAGTATCTTGTTCAGTATTTGTCTAAATCAGGGTCCGACAACATGTGGCTCTTTTACTGCCCTGTTGTGGCTCCACAGCAGAATTAGATTTGTAGGTAAAAATAAAATAATCCTCCTTTACAGTAAAATAAAGCTCTGCTGATCCTTCAACACAGTTTAACAATAAGTGGTCTTAAACTCTGGAGTTAATGTAGAACTGCTGATTCACCCTTTAACCCTGAAGATCAGCGCAGACTGCTGGTCACCATAGCAACACAGACAACAGTCTCACCTAGCTAGTAGCTAACGAAATGGCGAAGAGAGAGATTTAAGACGAACATCGATAATTTAGAGATCAATGGACTTATTTGTGTTTATAATCACTCCAGCTGGTTTCCTGATACGTTTAATCTGCAGAGAAACTCAAACACTAAAAAGTCACGAAGCTGAAGTCAGTTTCTCATTCGCCAGCTTCTTGTTCGAATTTTCCTGTTCCACCTTAAATAGTGCACCAGGTACTTTTTGCCACCTCAGGCACCATTTAAGGTGGAACGGAAAAAACTCAAACAAGTAAAAATGCCTCATAAAAATGAAATGTTGAGAGACGTTTTACAAGAAATTGTTCTGCTTTTCCTGCTGAAGATGTGAGAAATGCGGTTATAGCGGAGCTAAAGCTTAAAGCAGAGCAAAGTCTGGGCACTCTCTCCTTCAGGACAGGTGATTTTGGCTGGGACAGAGCTACACTTCACTGTACTGTTCTTGTCTTTGTGTAAAACAAATTCAGAATAACGAGAATCTCCATTTGTGGAAACATCCACTCTCGTTCTCTGCCATTGCTGCCAAACTGCGTTTGTGCTGTGCTCTTCACATTCGAGGTCACGTGACGAGCTGTGTAGTCAGCTGTGGCATTAGTGCATGCACAAACTAGCAGAAGAACAGCTTGGAAAATGCTTCATATTTTGTGTAATAAAAACAATATTTTTATAGAAAAACATGAGAAATGCAAGTAACAATTTTACAAAAATTAGTAACTGTAATGTGATTACAAAATATGTAACTGTATTGCGTTACATTACTTTTTTACATAAAAAGTAATCACATTACTGTAATGCATTAGTTTGTACCGCGTTACCCACAACACTGACTGTAGGATGAGAAGAGATTTTATAACTGAAAGAGGGGAGAGAACTCTGAGAACTTTAGTAGGAGCTCTGTACAGCATGAGCATTTTGAAGGCTACTATAAATGATTCAATGCTTCTTTTGAATTATTTATTATCTATTATAAATTCAGTAACTACCTAACCTGGAGACAGACTCTTTAAACAGTAAACAGACTGTATTCAATTCAGAAAAAATCAGTGAGAGCAGTGCATAGTTTTTAAAATCAGTAAGCTGCACAGTAACATGTGGGTCCTGCTGACTTTTTATATGAATGTTGGTGCAAATAATTCAGTAATTCTAAGTAGGCATATATAAATTTTCAATAAGTTTAGAAAACCTTTTCTTATTCTATTAATTATGAATTAAATTGCACTTGTGTATACAACTGTTATGTCAAAAATGGTACATTATTTTTTTGCAATGTTACTGTAATTGTAAATTTCTTTCCTCAATTACTCAGTTTTTTCACATTTAATCAAAATGTATGCAATTGTTGTAATTTTCGTAGTGTTCCCTTCCGGTTATTTTCTGGTAACAGGTTTGTAAAACTGAAATATTCACTTATAAACTGAAAAGAAAACAGCAAAGCTCTGAATTTGAGTTTCCTTGTTTGTACAGTTTGCCTGGTTACATATTCACACTTTAATATCATTGTACCAGCGTTTTTCTGCCAAAGTGTTTCACTTACTTTCAGTATAATTTAACTCATATTTTATAAACAGATGTCTCCGTTTAAAGTCAGCATGCATGAAGGACGTGATGGTCTTGAGATGATCTGGGTCGATCACACCGTCGTCGTCCTGATCTCGATCAGCACCTCGAGGAAAAAGGGTCTCAGTCTCAGAGTCAAAGTATGCCACTGTGATGTCATCCAGCATCAGTGTGAAACTAAACTCTGGAAACGGCGTCTCTCCTTCGATGAACGTTGTAACCATGGCTAAAGAGTGAGAACCTGTAGTGAGAGAGGGGGGGTGGAGTGTTGTGTGTCACCAGTTAACCTGTATAACTCACAGTTAGTCACACCATTGTGTACTATTACACTTTGAGACTAGTCACTACTGAAACACAGACTTTCTGTACTTTTTAGTGTTTTAATGTAAAATATGATGATTTTATGTGTGACAGCTGTTCAAAGCTGTGTTTGCTGGTCATGTACTGGCTGCGTTTTTGAGCTCTGCTCAACATGAGCTAAAATCGTCCCTACCAAAACAGTCAGTACTGTCCCATAATCATTTATATATTCATATACAGTGGCATGCAAATGCTTGGGCACCCCATGTTAAAATCTCTGTTACCATAAATGTGAGTAGAAGATGATCAGACATTCAAAGGGCATAAATTTTAGGATGAAACATTCTTTTAAGCACTTTATATAAAATTAGTGTTACTTTTTTATTTTGTACAATTTTAAAGTTAAAAAAGAAAGGCAGCTCTGCAAGATTGGACACCCCAAGAGATCAGAGCTGTCCGATAACTTTTACCAAGATCTCAGGCCATCATCAGCTTGTTTGGACGATGGCTTGTTCAGTCATTGTTAGGAAGAGTCAGGTGATGCAAATCTCCCCACAGTCAGAACAACAAGAATCAAAAGACTCTTAGCTGCTACAAAAAGCATTTACAAGCTGTGATACTTGCCAAAGGGGTCTTACTAAGCACTGACCAGGCAGGGTGCCCAAACTTTTGCTTTGGGCCCTTTTCATTTTTTGTTATTTTGAAACTGTAAATGAAATAAAATAGTAATCTTGCTCGTGTGTCGTCTTTAACTTTATGCCTCTTGGAAATCAAATCTTTTACTCATTTAGCCATTCGCAGTAACAGAAATTCAGACTGAGAGCGCCTACATTTTTGCACGTCACTGTATGTACACACGTTTTGTTGATTTTTGAAGTCAAAATAAGTAAACACAATTTTGTGAAATTTTTAAGTTAGTCAAATATGAAGTAACTATGCCTTAATATCAGCCGGGATTAGTTTGTTTATTTATTTATTTATTTATTTATCTAAACTCTGGAATAATGTTCCAAGGAATATTAGGAATGCAATCTGTGAAATTTAACACATTATTTGTGACTTGTGATATATATATATATATATATAATATATATATATATATATATATATATATATATATTGCTGCTGTCAGAACAAAAACTTGCATCTCCATTTTTCATTATTGGACACAATTTCATTTGAAAATGCCTGTTGTCCTTTGAATGGACCAAAAGAAACGGCCCAAAATTACTTTGTAAAATGTCTGGTTCCATTGACTTACATTAAAAGTAAAGTAGGTTTATATATATATATATATATATATATATATATATATATATATATATATATATATATATATATATATTTGAGCAGGTTTAACATTTTGTATACAAGCAGCTTTAAGTTTGTTGGTTTGTTTGTCTCTCTTGATAAGAGTAGCTGCAATAAGCTGTAAATGATGTTTTAATTCATGTTCATGTTTCCTTATTTCCCCTTAAGCCTCTGTCTCTGAAAATGTGCGTGGAAATGTGTTGAAGGTGCTCAGCAGGGTGAGCTAACCTAGACACATCATCAGCTTATATATATATACAGCCTGGAGAAAATTTACTGCTCACTAAAAATATGCTTTTTACACAGATAAATACAATTTAAATACTATTTATTGCATAATAATAATAATATTAATAATAATAATAATGGTTTCCTGTGAAAAGATCTGTCATATACAGCACTAATTAATCTAAAGAGAAAATGTGATTTAATATTAACTACCCACACTAACACATTCTGAATGTTTCTGCTCTGAATGTTGCTGCAAATTATCAGTGTAAATAAAAATAATATGGCTGTTCAGATCCTCTGAGCTCTTACCTGCTGAAACTGCGGCAGGTGCGAACAAAACAAACAACAGAGCACGGATTCCGTCCATTTCGGCACAAACAAGTGTCGCAGTTTCCAAGTGTACTGTTTAACCAAACCTGTAAACTGGTCATAATGTTTCCCTGTAACATAAACTCTGCCCTCTCGACCCCACCTGCCTTTTTATACTGGCAGTACCAGATAAGCCTTGCTTTCATTTCTGCTACCTGCTGTATTAAAACAGCCAGAGAAAATCTCACACTACACCTTTTAAAGTAGAGAATAAATTAATAACCAGGCCTGGATCATCGGCCCCTGGGCACAAATGTTTGGTGGGGCCTACCTGGCTAGCTTTTCTGGATGGTCATTGATTTTTTAATGACATCACAGAGGACTACATGAGGCCTATGCAGCACCACGATGACAGAATACTAACTGCAGTGTTGAACTTGCAGTGCTATAAACATGGTGTTTACTTTTCCCAATTCAGACAAAACTATAGCAAGATTACTTACACATTAATGAGAATGAGTCCAAAATAAATGGGTGAATATTAAGCATTTGTACATTTTTGAACATTATTAAAAAAGTTCTTTTATAAATTGAAGTTAAAGGAGTTTAAAACGGCACCTCACGTTCATGATGTCAGTGAGCTGCTCTGTTTGCTAACCAATCAGCTCACAGTAGCATAATGTTAACTAATCAGTGCTCAGTAGCATAATGTTAACCAATTAGCACTCAGTAGCAGTAATGCCAACCAATCAGTGCTCAGTAGCAGTAAGCCAACCAATCAGCGCTCAGTATCAGTATCATCACTCACTCCATTTGCTGAGGACTCGCTCATGAGCGCCCTCTGGTGTTTTGCAGTCATGTTTTTCATATAATGGAGGAAACAGGAAGCAGCCAGGCTCACCTTAAACTGGCTCTGGCAACACTTTCCTATAAATCATTCACCTACTCCTAACAATTACAACATTCCTAACATTTACAACACAATAAAGACGACAAATTAAAATCAGACAGATCAAATGTACACAAAGGCGGAAAAAAACAGATAAAAACATTCATACTGTGAAGCGTTCTAGCCAAAGTTAATTATTAATAACTGCACCCGCCCAGTTTAACCACAGATCATGTCCACCAGCGCCTGCAAAACCTAGCACCACTTTGCCCGCTGCTGCTTCAACAACAAGCCATGCCCACCCACGCCCGCCTACTTTGGGCTATGCGTGTGGTCCACGTCAGCAATAATCTGTTCCACTGATGTAGGACGCGTCCACGCAACCTTCATGACACACTAGAGCCTCCAGACCCATCACACCTCCACAGACCATGCACCACAAATAAATCCTTCAGTGTTGCAAAAGTAAATATTTTGTGAATTTTATGCTAATCAAAGCCACATGAACTTGGCACGTGACACGTGACGTCACTGTCGACCGACAAGTGGGCAGAAAAAAACACAAAACAGTGTAGCAGCTTCGCCACTAACATTATTTTTATCTGTGTCAACATTACATTATTAGCTAATTACTCCATAAGACGTCTACAAGTCAGCTTAAATTAAATTAAAGCCAAAACAGAGGCTGAGGCCACGACACGGGTTACTGGATGCTCTGCAGCTTCGTGTTTTTTGCTGCTTGTAATTACTAACATGTTTTTCTATGCAGCTCATTTGCAGCTCATTTGTTGCCTGTTCGCTTCTATAGGCAGCCAATTAATTGTCCAAGCCCACCCCACTCAGCCATAATACCCACCTGCACAAGTCCGCAACCTGTTGCAAGCCTCAACGAAATGAGGCTCTATAGATACATTTAGATATTAAAGAAATATAGATACTAAAATTTACAGTTAGATATCCACCTGCGCCCCGTGATGTTTTGAGTGGCTTCTGAACAGAGTAAAGCATAATACAGACAACATGTTTAATGCTTATAACATCTTATAATAATAGAAATGTGGGAATAACTAAAAAATGTGAATAATCTTTATTGCTGGGATGCTCGAGGGATTGTGTGCCAGTGTTTAATCTGTGAACGGAAAGCTGAACCTGCTTTGGTCAGAGGATTAAAATCATTTCATTTTAACCTTTTATTTATGTTTACACAGAGTCGGGAACATAAAGCAGCTCCTTTACACAGCATTGTAGATGTAGAAATCAGTTCTTTAAGCAGTGCTGTGATAAAGCTCCTCATAGGTTCACCATGGTATATTAGCACCCAACTAGCAGAGCACATCGTTTGAGTAAACTTCATCATGAATAGATCAAAAGAAACGGCCCAAAACTACCTGGATAAATTCTGGTTCCATTGACTTACATTAAAAGTGAAGCATGTTTTTTCCTTCTACTGTAAAGTTACTATTTTGGAGAAATGTTCTGACCACAGCCATATGTTTTGTTTTGGGTGCTGGTATGCTGGTCAGCAAGCATGAGCACGCTGGACCAGCATAAACCACCATAAATCTGTTTTTTTTTCAGCAGGGAAAAACACACTCAAACATTTAATTTAGCTGTTATTTTAGCCATTTATCCAAACCAGGTGTCTGCACTGTGTTATCAGCACAATGATGAGCTGTGAATTCACCTCACCTCATAAAATCAAGGTTTATTTTCTAATCTTACATGTTTTACTGTTTTGTGTTGTACAGCTAAGTTAGAGCAGTAAAATCAGTGTGATTTTCACCTCAGAGATCATGAGTAAACGCTTCTTTGAGCACCTTTTCCACAGAATATGACAGTATTTTTACCAACATGTTGATTTGCACTGGATTAATCTAACCTGAGGTTATTTCTACAGCTCGTTTTATAGAAGGTGAAACGCATCAGAATCTTTACTGAAGAGGGAGAACGCAGTCGGTAAAAGTGACTGACATGGTGACTTCAGACAGAACTAAAATCACTGAGAAACACCAGTAAAAGCTAATTCTGTCTGAATAGGGCTCAAATACTCAATGTAATGAAGCAATGCAGTTCATATTGTGCTTATATTATTAGAATAACATCCTGTCTTTGTTCCACTTCCATTCATGTTAAGATTCTTTGAGTTCTTCGCTGCAAAACAGTGGAAGGTATTTAGTAAAGCAGTAGAGTGAAGATTCTGTCTTTATTCAGGACACAGAGCTAAAACTGCAGTTCAGATTGAGTTTCTAGTGTAACAGAACGCTGCTGTCTGGATTCTCTCACTCGATATACTTTCACTTCTGTCACTTGTTCACTATCATAGGACAAATAAACAAGTGGAGACTTTGGACTGCAAAGAGAGCACAGCTCTAAGATGAACTCACAGCTTTAATTCTGTTTTACAGACTCTGTATGTATTCTCTACTATAAGCATACACAACACACTGCATCATCATTACATGATCATTACTTTACAAATACTCAGTATAATGTAATAAATCCAAATAAAATGTAAAATCATAATCAAATGTCAGTGTTAGTTTTAATATGTGAACCTTACGGGCCTCAGAGTAAACGGTGCGTTTCAAAGTTTAAGAATATTTACGTACATAACCTACAGATACTTCTTTATTTTGAAAAATGTTCACATAGTTATGTTATCATTCATAGCTAAAATGAATGAAACTGCTTCTCTACTATAAACATAATTCACAAAAACTACACATTTGAACAAAATATTACAGTAAGTACAGGAGATCAAAGGTCAGCATTAGTTTAATGTATGAGCTGTACGGACCTCGAAATAAAGAGTGCATATTTTAGAAAAACGAGGAAAAGTCAAATTTATTTATATAGCGCCTTTTACAACAGATGTTGTCACAAAGCAGCTTTACAGAGAATCCGGGTCCACGCCCCCAGTGAGCAAGCCTTGGCGACAGTGGCAAGGAAAAACTCCCTCAACAGGAGGAAGAAACCTCGAGAGGAACCAGACTCAAAAGGGGAACCCATCCTCCTCTGGTCGACACCGGATAAGAGGACAGACACAAAACAGTATAGTGGATACGTTTGACTGAAGCTGAAGTGAAAGTGCAGGAGGTGAAACAGTTTCTGTAGGTCCTCCTGCTGTGAGGCTGAGCGCTGAGTGTGATGAGTTCAGGCTGCTTCTGCTCTGAACCAGTCACTGATCTCTCTCTGGTTCTCTGAGACCCACTTCATATTGGCTCTGGTCTTCTCGATGGCCTGATCCAGAGCTGAGCTCGCTGAGCCGAAGCCCACATCAGCGTTCTGCTCCTTAAACTGCAGCAGCTTCATCACGAGCAGAAACACAAACAAAATACACACATTTATTAGACAAATGGTAAATATACGAAAATAATGACAGATGATGTTCATATTAGCAGATCCTTCCCTCAGTTCTGTTCTGTTCCAGTTCTTAACACAGTTTGTGTTGGTCATCCTCTAGTCCTTCATCAGTGGTCACAGGACACTGCCCACAGGACTCTGTTGGCTGGATATCTTTGGTTGGTGGACTATTCTCAGTTCAGCAGTGACACTGAGGTGTTTAAAAACTCCAGCAGCACTGCTGTGTCTGATCCACTCAGACCAGCACAACACACACTAACACACCACCACCACCACCACGTCAGTGTCACTGCAGTGCTGAGAATGATCCACCACCCAAATAGTACCTGCTCTTAAGGGTCCGTGGGGGTCCTGACCACTGAAGAACAGGGTAAAAGGGGGCTAACAAAGTATCAGAGAAACAGATGGACTACAGTCTGTAACTGTAGAACTACAAAGTGCACCTTCTTTTTTTTTTCTAAAAGACTTGATACATTTTACGGTGTTCCACAGGGCTCCATACTTAATCCATTTTTATTGTCAAATGTGTCAAACGATCACAATCATGATGCTAATGATGCTATGAAGATGATATGTTTATTTTTATTTAAATATGAAACAAAGTACTTTCCCAAAGCATAAAATATGCTGTATGGATAGTTTAAATTATTTACAGACTGTGAAACTGTCAAAGCTGTTGTGATGAAAGCCAATATTAGTGAGAGGCTATGAGCCTTTTATTTAATAATTTAATTTATTTTTTATAAACAATCTGCAGTAACACCCATAAATTATACCAATGTTTGCGATTTTTCCAGCCCTTTTTAAGGGAAAGCTGTTATCGAGGCAGTGATGCATCATCACACAGATTACAAGCAGTCTTGTTTGCAAATTTAGTTTCAGATAAAGTGACTTTTTTAAAATACATTAGAAA